AGTAAACAAAAAATAATTCGAACCAAACGGTTTCTTGAAAGCTAAGCTTTAATAAGAAAAGTTTTTTTTTTTTTTTTTTTTTTTTTTGTTCCTGGCATTTTCATATTTTTTCCAAAGTTAGCTCTTTTGAGGCAAATGTATTTTTTGGGTAAATGAAGTGTTGAGCTATCAGATGAATATCTTCTAAGTGAAGATACTTAAAGGACCAATTGGCAGTCAAATGTTTAGATACGAACGAGATGAACATATCTAAAATGTACTTGGGAGAGCATTTGGAAATTCAAACAGAATTCTTTGAGAGAAATCCAACAAATAAATATTGTTTGATGTAGGAATGAATGCAGTTAGTCGCAGGGACATGTGAATTATCTGGTTAATGATATTGGTGACTCTCTGTACTACTTGTACCTCAGCTAGAGAGGACCTTTTAAGACATTGAGGAAAAGGTGTTAATTTGTAACAAGAGTGTATACTAATTATTGTATTTCCCCTTCTCTTTTTAGGTCTTGAAAATCGAAATTGTACGTGTTATGTGACATTTTTTAGAAGGTTCAGGAAATTATAATGCAATGTAAGGTAATGTTTTAGTTTTTTAACCAGTTATTTTATGTTAGTCAGCTTTCCTGTCCTCTTCATTTCAGTTTTTCTGCCAGAATGTAAATTTCTAGTTCGCGCGATACTCAAATGAGGTAGAAAGAAGAGAGTATTCAAAGGAAGGTTTTAGAGGGTAGAATGAGAGCCTGTTCTGCCTGCTGAAGGCCACGTTGCTAATTTGATTCTTTTGAGAGTAGTATTCTGCGCCGGTGAGTTACTCTCTCCATTAGGCTTGTTACGCATAGGAAGACGGATTCTTTTCTTTCGAGCAAAATGTTTTGGCTTCGTCCTGATGAAAATTTAGTAAACATGGATATTTTCTATTCGCTACATCATTCTCTATTTCTGCGATTCAGCGAGACGTTTTCTGACACCGATATTGGAAACAATGTGAGAGACTTGGAGAAATATATATAAGGTATTTTTCCTGTCTTCTTGGCGTGCCTTCGTGGTGCGGTGGTCTGCAAGCTCAGCGTGTAGTTGAGAGGTCCGTGGTTCGATTCCCGGCGAAGACGTTGCATATTTTTCATCTTGCCTGCTTCGAAATAACCTAATGTCTCTGCACAGACAGTGCTACATTATTGCCTTTTTAAAATTCAGACCGCGAATTTCATCAGGTGGTGGAAGATCGTAATTAGAGTCATCATCTACAGCAAAATTATTTATATATTTTTACATCTTCTTACTCACTTTCTTATAAACCTTGCATTATTTTCAGCTCCTTTTTATGCAGGAAGCAACCGATGACAGTTTTAGCTTCTTTAAAAATATGGCCAAACAGATAAGGGCTACTGGGAAAAACCACAAACAGAGAAGGAAGAGAGGGGAGACGTGTTAAAGGCCCTTCCTGGGATTCAAATACGCGTCGAGTATGTTGCAGTAACACCACGAAGGCATGCGGAAAGGAGAAAGAAAATAACTTATAAGGTTTTTCTGTATTCTACAATTTTTAGTAAAGATGTTTTGAGTTTTTATACATTTTGGCTTTGTCGCAAAGTGAGAACTGAACTGATTCAATGAGAAATATATCTCTAATGAAATTGGAGAAAATAAGTTTAAATGAAGTTCAGCAAAAATTATGCATAATTTGATAGGCCTTAAAAAGGAAGGTGTCCGCATTAGATATTTTTTAAAAATGCTTGATTCTTGAGACAACCCCTTTTTTTATCATAAAAAGGAATTAGCACTGTAAAGTAAAACATAGAAGAAGACTAAATGGTATTACATCGTTAAATATTTCGCAAAGAACAGTGGAAATTAATTTACGATCGCAGTTAAGAAACTTTGTCATATCCCACTGTTTGCATTAAATGACATCAAACCTTTATAAAAAAATAAAGTTTTATGCGGAGAGTATTATTTACTTAGAATATTTTTAAAATGCCTATTTTGAAGTAAGCAGCCACGAAGAACTTGAATAAAATAATTGTATCATTACTTTGTTAAATTCTGAGGATAAATATTTGAAAGAAAACTTTGGCAGCAATTTTTCTGTTGACATTTTCATAAGTAATAATATTGTTGCATGCGTAAGGGTTCGTAATAAATTGAATGCACAAGTCCGGTAAAAAAGTTAATAAAAGTTATTCTAATCACAAGAAATATAACAAAATGCTGGTTTATTCCTCAAAGATATTCGTGCAATATCACAATATCATGCAATATAAACAGTAGCTATATTTTAAACTACTCTAAAATGTTAAATAAAACGAAATCCAAAGCGCAGAGAAAGCTAATTCGCTACAATCAACAAAAAACAGTTAACTAAACAACTGAGCTGTGATTTTTCTTTCCGGCTTTTATAGCTTTTCAAATCAGCCGCACGAGATAGTTCTAGCAATTTCTGGAAAGCAAAAAGAGTAGAATTACGATTACAGTTAACACACTAGTCAATTACATTTATTCAAATTAAATATAAATTACAGAGATAAACTTTTATTCAATGTTAAATGCACGTGCATTTTTAATTTTTCGGCGTAGCTTTCTCTTAAAACTCGTCACGCGCTTCATTGCAAGGGAAAATAAAACAATTTAATTATAATTCTGCTAATATTAGCTATTTAAATATCAAATTCGTAACAATATAATATATTTTTACACAAACTGCTGCAGATCTTCAGATTCGCCAAAACATAATGCAAAATTCTTCTTAATGAATTTCGATGTGATTTTTATTAATACGAGTACTCCTACATCACGTGACAAAGCGTCACCCTCGATGTTTTTCCTAATTTTTTCGTAAATAATGTATTTATTACAAAATTTGATTTTTTTTTAATTCAATGAGCTTATAGAGACATTAGGATTTTTTTTGAAGAAAGAAAGACGAAAAGTTAGCAAACGCCTTCGCCGGGAATCGAACCACGGACCTCTTAAATACCGGCTCAGTGTGCTGACCACTACACCACGAAGGCACGCTAGGAAGTCGGGAGAAATATCTTATAAGCTATATAAATTGTGTGCAAATTCAAAGCTTATTATTTTAATAAATGTGCATTATTTATATGATTGTACCTAAAATATTATTATATTTGTTAAATATAACTAAATAAACGTTTTTACTGATTTCGCTGTATTTGCGAAATGCTTAAATAAAAAATGTTTCGCCCGTGATTTCCATCTCGGATAAATCTGTCAGCGGTTCTCAACCCTTTGACTAATGCGTACATCTAAACAAAAATTGAAACCTTTAGTACCACCACTACAAAGTACTACTACCTCCACCACTCTTGAACAAAGCTCGGATCGCATAAATTTACGAGTGTTAGAGAAAAAACTCAATCAGGATATTAGGGTATTTACGTAATTTTTGAATTTAACAGTTTACTTTGCTTCTTTGCGTATCACCGGTTGAGAGCCCGTGATCTATACTATTAAAATCTGTGCCCGTCTGTCTCTTTGCTTGTTCGTTTTTGTGGCATTATCTCCTCCGGAACGGCGGGAGTTCAATTTCGTGAGAGATACCTTCGAACAAAAGTGTTGCTACTGGTCGCTTTTCAAATCGTAGATTTTGTTAATAAAAAAATTGTAAGTTTTACCAAATATGAAATAAAAATAGCATTGCCAAACATTAAACGTATTATTACATAATGTCATATTCTGATGTTGAAGAAACCACGCTACTGCATGTGACCTCATTCTATGTCGAAAAGGTTACTTTAATGTTTAGCATTTTAAATAAATAGCTGCTGTTAACAATGTTTACTTATTTCAGGCTAGTATAACTGACACGGTATGTTATTGCCACGTTAATGCTTTTATTGATATTGAGAAAATGTTGTTGTATTACATTAAATTTAAATCATGACGTCTTTCGTATTAACCTGAAGTGTCCAAAGTTTTTGTTTCTTGGTTTGGCAACAAAAAATTATTTACGAATTGGTTGTTGCTTGGTAACACTGAACTGGATTTCATTCATATTGAAATGTTTTTATACATTTGCTTTTTGAACATTGAAATTACAAAAATTTTAAAAGCAGCATAGGAACATATGTTTAGAATTTCAGATGCGGTGTTAAGTGTTGGCAAAATATTTTTTTAAAAATTTTTTGAGTCTTTTCTCAATTTAGTGTTAAGTTTCCCCAGTAAGATAGCTTATTACGCCATATAAAATGTAATTCAACATTAAAATATTTTAAAACGGCATATCTGTAGAATTTCTGATAGACAGTCTCGCATGCTGGAAATAAGAATGCTTTATTCCATACAGTGTTGCCACTGCTCGCTTTGAAAAAGTCGAGTTTGTTAACAAAAATTTGTAAGTTTTCTAACATATGAACTTAATATAATTCGAAATTAAAAATTCGGACTTCAAAGTGCCCATGTTCAGGTGGAGGGCTACGTTATTCAAAATTGGATGGCTCTAGGTACCGTTGTTTTTTCACAGTGCTAGAGTTGTCATACATACATTATCCAGATTCTTCATTATTTAATTTCTTTAAATATAATGCAGAACGATAATATTTGGTGGCAACGCATATGTTTGGTTGAAAAGTGAGTGGGCGATAACCTTTAATGAAAAAGGATACTACGCTTTAAGGGTTTTGACACAAGACAGTTACATTTCACTGCATCGAGTGGTTGTTATAAGTTAGAGTTGTTCAGTTATGTGCGCTAATAATTAACAGATAAACAGAGGAGACAATTTTTCAAGATTTCAGAATTTAACGGTCTATGTTGCCTATTATATATGAAGTGAAGTGAATGCGTTTAGCATTTCACTGATTTTTTTTTCCTTTGGAATTTCGATATGAATTACTTTGTGCACTAATTCAAAAAGCAAGAAAGACATTAGCGAGAATTATAGTAATGAAAGTATATTGTATTTAGTATAAAGAAATTGCTTATTATGAAGGAAAATTTAACATATTTTTACACAATAAAGATAAACATGAAATTTTACTCACATCATAAAGATCTATAAATTTTCTTTCTAGGTAATTGTGTTCTTGTTAAGTTCGGGAGAGGATCTTCACGTCGATGTATGATAACACAATAAGTACACGTCGATGATTTCACTGAATTTTGTGATTGATTATCGTCTATTCTTGAATCAGAAATGACATCATACGTACATTATACTCAAAGTGTCGCAACAGAAAATAATATAAAGGTATAATATTAAATGATCAGGATGGCCAGTAGTAAAACACCACGTCTTTGGCATCAGGCACAAGCAAGCAGCTGTGCGACAGATGGTCGTTTATATTTTCTTATGAAGCTACTAAAATAAAAAAGAAATTGACACTATTTTCATTGCTCATTGAAAACTTTCCCATATTTCTAACACGCATAGTTGCTTTATATCATTTGCACAACGTAGTTTTTTTGTTGTTGATGATTTCATATTTTTCGGAAATATGGTAGTACGTCCTTCTTATGAATATTACTTAAATTAGTTGAATATCCATGAAGGCGGATTAAATTCTTATTTTGTTTCACCAAATTTCGCATTTTTACTTCTTTACACTGTAGGGTTTATATTTATTTTAACTAACATTTATTTTAAGTTTAAACTATCTTTCCTGTCAGCCTTAATTTCCCCCTGGAACTGCCAATGCCAGAATATGTAAATTTGAGTTAGAACGCGCAAGGATTCAAAATTATCAGCGGAAGTATTCGGATTTAAATAGAAGGAAACAAGTTCGGTGAGAGTTATTCTTACTTAGCGAGCGCGGAGGTAGAAATCGAGAATTGAAGAACCCCGCGTTGCGGCCTATGTGCTTGGCGGGAAGTAGTTGCAATTGTTCCAGTGAGCTTCAAGTCTGCTGAATTAGCTGCGGCATTTGTAAAACGCGGTGAGTTAGTTATTTTAGAGAGCCTCGTAGTTAGAATATTGTCTTTATTTTCTTTTTAGGTTATTATTTTTATTTTGACTGCCTAGTTGGCACAGTTTGTAAGCGTCAAGAGGACGCAATTGTAATTTAGTACGTTGAATAAAAAGGACTTAAACCCTTTATAAGACTCTGTGGTTTAACAAGCTTTCACAGTCACCTCTGGTTGCGTGCTAGTTAGAGGCGCGCAACGTTATATGGTGCCCGAACACTTATCGAACTGAAATGGCCCGAAAACTGGATGGAAGCCGCTGGAAAACACCAAGAAATGACAACTCAGTTAGAAGGATTTGGATACCTGGTCCAGACTTGAGAGCATCAATTCAAGCCAAACGTCTATTTCGACGGAAAAAAATTCGGTGTCCGTTTTTTAGAAGGTATAGAAAAACCACTTTCAGCTCTATCCTGTGCCGAAAGACAAAAAGTTGCTATTGCCACATCAGCACTAAGAGGACAGGCCGCGCTAGGTGGAAAATAGGCAAATTTCTTCTAGGTGAATTTGGAAGCCCGACGTATACATTTGAAATTTAAAAATCGTTAGTAAAGGCCTTCCCCATAGTGAAAGATCGCGCACGGCGGGAAGCCGAGCTATATAGTTTCTATCAACGGGATACAGCAAAATTGACGGACTTTATTTTACGAAAAATCAAATAACGGATATGTGTATGGGAAAAAACCGATGCGGAGTAAATTGAAATAATATTACCAAGATTGTTACCCTGTCCAAGACTACTTTGAAATTAAAACCCAAGCACATTGCAGGAACTTTTCAATTGGCGGTGAAATTTCAAATCGCAGAATGCGGAGAGAGCGAGAGGGAAACATTCTCAAAGTACCGAAGGAAGGAGGAAACCAGAAATGGAAATCGCTCATATGGGGAAGAACTATCAAGCTACGCATCGAAACTCGAAGGTCAAGGCCCAAAAAGAAATTTAAAATAAGCATCCGCGTACCCAGAAGAACAGATTGAAAGGAAAGCTTTAAACGACTAGAGGGGCCTGTGAAAGGAAGGTTCCAGACCCCGGAATTTTTAGAAAAACCCTCAATAGACATCTAAATACAGTCATCGAAAAAACTCACAGCTACC